AGGGACCGCGGTAGCCGAGTGGTTAGCATGAGAGACTCTCACGCCGCGGTCGTGGGTTCGATTCCCACCGTCGCCTCTGGCCCTTTTTTCCCGATAACCCCCAATTTGAACACACAAGAATTCGTACTATGGCTAATATGCAAGATCATAAGGCCAATAAAAAATAAATAAAAATCGGGTAAGCGTGTTCCCTGGTTAATTTTCACACTGTTTATCCCGTGATGTAATTGCTAACGAGATGTGCGATTGATCTCATTTCGATAGTGGTTCATGCGGTTGTGATACAAAGACCAAAACAACAATTAAATTTTGTTTTCTATTTTATTGAAAAATTGTATGGTTGCAGTGCGGGGGGCTCCTTTTCGCACAGTTGGAACTGTGGAAAGCAGCCGCGATGGACGAGACTGCAGTCGACGTAAGCGGACTTCTTCACGAAACCACTACCACAAGATCAGGATCGTCTTCGGGAGAGCCATCAGACGGTAAGTTATTTTTAACAGTTTTTGTTCCCATAAAACTCATTTTAAATTTTCATTTAATTATTATTATCGAGTTTATTATTTATTTAATTGTAATAACTATGGATTGTTTTGGGTAACGTACGTTTAATTAGAACCGATTACAACTTCCCCGTAGTCGCCGAGCTTTCCCCTTTTGCGGTGGGATTTGAAAACTGCGTTTTCCCAGGTGAAAACCGCTTTTCACGCCTTTTCCTTATTCAGAATTAATTGGGTGAGAGCGGCCGTCCGAGAAAGAACGTCTATAAATTGCGTCACAGGCAGCCTTGCAAACGCACACAGTCGCAGAGATACGCACGGCTAGAAAGCTCCTACGGGCTTCGGACCGGTCGGGTTGAATCACAATTAGCCAGACGTTCGGACACCTCTTCGGCAAAATTTTAAAAAGGAAAAGGCTTTCTAAAACCAGTCACTCGAGTGGATTTTTCGATGGGAATAAATAAAGATAAGATTCCCCCCCCCCTTTTAAAAATACGACGTACTTTCTCTCCCGTCCTCGCCCAGCTATCTCCGTTCTCAAAATCTATCGGAATTTTTATGGCAGAAGTGTTTTTATTTATGAACGATCGAAATCAACATAATTTAAAAGAATTCTCTAGAGAAAAAGCATTATGGCGCTTAGAATGAAAAAGCAGAAAATTGAAAATTGAAACACATAAAATGAATTTTTTATGGACGGTTTTTAATTTTTGTCTTAAAAAAAATCACTTATATCCTAGCAAATAGCAACATTTATTAAAATTAAGTTCACTTGGCCACATATCACCCTAATTTGCAAGCGGTTTTATTTTCTACACATAGGCACTATTTAATTTTGAATATCGCACTCTGACCACATGAAATCAATGACTTCAGGCTTTAAATAATAAAATAATACAGCTAGTATCAGCGGTATTTCGGTTTTATTTACTTTATTTTTATCTATTTGTTAATTTCTTGATGGGTAACTACGGCTAAATATTTACAGTGGTAGAAGGTTAAGAAAATTAAATCAATATTCCTTCTGCTTCCTTCGGTCAGAGGACTGTGACTCGGAACAACCCAGAAGACAGCGAACTCCTAATAAGCAGCGAGAACAGACGGACCCAGTTTGTACTTTTTTCCATACATTGCTACGGTATTATTATTAAGATTGAAATTTGAAAAAAAAACTCAGTATTTTTTCTATCGCTTGAACGCTGAAGACACAGCGAAATACCGAATAACAAAGCGAGGAAAGTCTAATCAGATTTTTTCTAAATTTTTCTATGTTCGGCTGCAAAAGACTTGCGGTGGTGAAGAAGTCAAGCAAATTGAATAATATTTAAACTACATATTAATTTTGGTGGACTGCAAGATAGACCTGACGCTGAAGTGAGCGAGCGTCTTCAAAAATAGCGAGAATAGGCGGACCAGGATTTATGTACTTTTTCTGAATTTCTTCCGCTTATTGCTACGGAAAAACATACATAAGATTATTTAGTTAGAAAGCGATAATGCCGAGACAAAAATGAATAATTTTGAGTTAAATATGAATAGTTTGAAGTGAAAATGTATTAGTTTGAAATTAAAAAGGGATCATGGATAAATTGATGTGAAAATGTGTTAATTTGAAACTAAAAAGGGATCATGGATAATTTGAAGTGAAAATGGTTAATTTGAAATTAAAAAGGGATCATAGATAATGTGAAGTGAAAATGAGTTAATTTGAATCATTTTAAGATAAAAATGGATCATTTGACGTGAAAAGATGTTAATTTAAATTAGAAGGTGTTAATTTGAAATTAAAAAGGGATCATGGATAATTTGAAGTGAAAATGGTTAATTTGAAATTAAAAAGGGATCATAGATAATGTGAAGTGAAAATGAGTTAATTTGAAATTAAAAAGGGATTATGTGAAGATATAAAAAAATATCATTTTAAGATAAAAATGGATCATTTGACGTGAAAAGATGTTAATTTAAATTAGAAGGTGTTAATTTGAAATTAAAAAGGGATCATGGATAATTTGAAGTGAAAATATGTTAATTTGTAGTTAAAAAGGGATTATGTGAAGATATAAAAAAATATCATTTTAAGATAAAAATGGATAATTTGACGTGAAAAGATGTTAATTTAAATTAAAAGGTGTTAATTTGAAATTAAAAAGGCATCATGGATAATTTGAAGTGAAAATGTGTTAATTTGAAGTTAAAAAGGGATTATGTAAAGATATAAAAAAATATCATTTTAAGATAAAAATGGATAATTTGAAGTGAAAATATGTTAATTTGAAGTTAGAAGGTGTTCAAATGCAATATCTCGTCTGCTTGATTCACTGAGGTTTCTATTTAGACGCACTTGAACTTCAAACTTCCAGTCTTAATCAGGCTTGATTACCGTTCTGCCGTGAAAAATCTTGACGTTTTTAAAATTAAAACTGTACTTGAATGCAGTCTGAATTTTAAAAAAATCGTCCGAGTTGTTATATTTTTAATAATTTATATGCAACCTTGATGCATATTTTAATACAAAGAGTTCGCGTAATTAAGATTATAATGATTTTATGGCATAAATGGTATAATTTGACTGTCTATTTAATTTTAAAATTAATCTAGACTGAAGAAAGCATAACTAATGTATAATCTACGTTGGATTAATCGTCTTTAATCAAACAAAACGGGGAAAAAGTTTGAAAGCGTAATTACATGGGTCATGAAATGTATGCTTAAAACTGGTTTGTGTCTTAGCAATCAAGTTCCGGCTCCGGGCCAAGTTTGTTATTGTTTTTAACACCCGGTCCTCATAAAGAAACAAAGAAAGAAGTCGATATATAATAAATTAACATCACAAAAGAGCCATTTAAATTAATTCCGCGCAATCCGCTAGTCCGTCGTCCTTCCACTCCCATCCCAGGCCATTTAAAAATCCTCTGACGGCCCCCCATTTTAAAAACTGCTGTCCTTAATTCTGAACATGATTGGACCGCTCACTTATTAACTTTCTACTTACTTGGAACCCGCCCGACAAAAACTACTTGAGAACTGGGTCCCCACCAAACCAGTTTTCACCGCTTCTTCTTTCGTCTTTTTTTTCTGTCTTTCTTTTTCGAAACGGCTTCTTTTCAAAATGGCTAATGAGCCACCTCGGGCGCCGTTTTGTGATTGACCCGCTAATTGTCACTATTAAGCCACTTAGTGTCAGAGTTGCTTGCCTCCTTGGTTTCTTTCACTTTTTTATTTTCTTATAAGAAAATAAATGATATCTTTTCTTTTTTTATTCTCGTGCTTGTCTGGTGACACAGTAAAAATAATTGGCATCCATGCAAGGATTGCAATTTTCTCGACCTTCTAACAACCGTAAGTCTTAATTCGCCTTAGCAATTCAAGGAGTAATTTCCTGGTCCGTATTTTCTCGCTTTATTCAACGATTCAGCCGGCCCGCAGGCACACTTGTAACCAAAAAACCTAAAAATAAATATATAAAATAAAACTGATTGCATTAAGTGAAATTTATTTTTGTTTTATAATTGGAATCTTTGGAATCCGAGTTAGGTTATTGAGATTTTTGGGCAAACACTTGGGCAACGTGTAAAGAATTTCATTCTTGAATGTCAAACTACTAACAATAAAAATGTGTTCATATTTTATTATCATCGAAAAATTGGGATATTTAGTTTGCCAGTCTTACATTTTCTAAAGTTGACTTTTTTCGTGCTTTTTCTCAACTTTCTTACAATCCTAGGTACTAATTTACCCAGCGATTGGACAAAAAGGAAAGCTAAAAAACTCGGTCCGCCAGTTCTCGTTGCGTTAGACGTTTATCAGCTTTTACCGTTTAGTCTGCCTCAATCGCACCTCTGATCAAAACCATCAAAATAAAATATTGGTCGATTTTTTCCATTTATCCTTTTTTGCTTTAGAAATTAAGGCAAAATTCAGAAAAAATAAATTCTATTTCGCCGATCTCGCTGCATTTGAAGACATTCGCTCTTTTCAGCATTGAATCTGCTTGCCTCAATCAAAGTCATCAGCGGAAATATTGATGCATATTCTAAATATTCTTGTGTAATCTGTGACCGTGGCAATTTAGGGATTCAGATAAAAAGTACATAAATCGTGGTCCGATCGTTCTCGCTAATACACGGCATCGCAGGTCGTCGGTGGCCGCAACGGTTTGGGCGTTGACACGGCGCTTATCACTGTAAGGTAAAGGTCCCGGGTTCGAATCCAGCGGCCCTGCATTCAAACCCGACATACTTACAAATGGGCTTTTTTTCAAAAACACCGGCACCCCAAGGGTTAATATAACCTCTGCTGTTGCGAACCCTCGTAAAAGGAAAAAAAAGTTATGTACATATATCGATGTCTCTAATCCAACTTGACGCACAGACAGGGATATTTATGTAATTATTTATCCAATAGTAAATAAGAAAAACGTATAAGTTTTTGTAAGTTAATTTTTTTCGTAAATAAAAAATAAATATATCGATACATTTCAACGAATATATCGATATATTTCAAACATCTACAGACAAATATATCGATAAAAATATACTCGATATATGTAGAAATATATCCTATTTAATATTAATTTAATAGATTAAATATTTCCTACCTAAAAACTGCTGTTGCGAACCCTCGTAAAAAAAATATATATATATAATATATAAAGCCTTAGCCGAATGTTGTGGGTTCGAATCCCGCTCGTGAAACTTTTTTATCTTAAAAACCTTAATTAATTGAATGATATTAATTGGTCAAGCGGATCACGAAAAATAGTGTATATATATAAAAAAATTTTGTTGAGTCCATATGCACTAATCAAAGGACAGGAATATTGATTGGTTTTCTAAATATTCTTGTGTAATCTTTTATCGTAGAATATTTTTCCGTAGCAATAAGCGGAAGAAATTCAGAAAAAGTACATAAATCCTGGTCCGCTTGTTCTCGCTGTAATTTAAGACATTTAAGACATTCTCTTCAGAGTCAAGTCGGTCTTGGAG